TTTTGTATACAGTTGTAAATATCATTTAAAATAAATAAAAAAAAAAAAAAAAATTTACAGTGATAATTGTAGGAGTGGAAGTCGGCGGGATGTCTGGTACGTTGCCATAATAATCTGGCACGGCGTTTTATTTGGATTAGGTCAAGGATGTCATCATCATCATCCTGTTTCTGATCCCAATACCAAGAAGTTGTCCGAACCATCTTAAGTTGTGCTCCTCTAGGATGGTTTCAGCCGGTTTGACCTCGAGGCTAGTCCGTACAGTGGCATTCCGGACCCTATCTCTTCTGACTTTTCCCTCGGCCTTCCGAAGGTATCGCATCTCCATTGCTTGAATTTGACTTTTGTGTTTCGAGGTGAGGGTCCACGATTCAGAGGAGTACAAAAGGATAGGGAGAAATGTCGATTTGTAGACTGCTACTTTAGTTCGCTTCGTTATCTCTCTTCTGCCCAGAAATCCCCTCCGAAGAAGATAGAAAACTCTGCCAGCTGACCCGATTCTTTTACTCACCTCTTTATCAACATAACCACTTTCGTTGAGATGAACACCCAGATACTGGAAATTATCTACCTGCTACAATCTCTCACCACTTACTCTCATCACCCTCATTATTCTCCGGGGCTTCTTTCCTATTCTCATACATTTAGTTTTTCCCGGTTTAATCTTCATGTTTATCGTGGCTATTTCTTCATGGAGGATGTTGATGTTGTATTGGAGATCTCGATCGTTGGCAGCTAGCAAGACCAGGTCGTCAGCAAACGCCAGCACAGAGAATCTTGTCGGTTGCAGTTTTCGATGTCCTAACTGGAACTGCCTCATCCTTAGTTTAGCCTTTCTAAGTGCTATGTCTAAAACTATTATGAACAGTAGCGGGCTTAAGCTACAACCTTGGTGAATACCTAATGTCGTCTAAAATTCTTCTGAAATGTGGTTCTTGGTCCTAACCACATTTCTCTGAGAAGAGACTCGTCAGAGCCAAAATCGTTCCATGATCGTTCCCTCTTTCAGACAATGCCCTCTCTAAATTTTCCTTCCTCACTCTGTCGAAAGCCTTTTGGAGGTCCACGAAGCAGACAGAAAGCCCCTTATTCTTCTCGACCGTCTTTTCTGTAATTTGGCGCATTGTGAAGATAAGATCCTGCTTACTTCGCTGCCCTCTGAAGCCGTATTGTTCTTCCCCGAGCTGACCATCCACCAACCTTCTTACCCTTGTCTCCAGTATTCTGGAATAAACTTTACCGGGTACACTGAGAAGCGATATTCCTCGATGATTCCCACACTCTCTATTATCTCCTTTCTTATAAATGGGCACGATCACTGCCACTTCCCAGACTTTCGAAATTTTCTTTTCCTTCCAAATCAGGTTCAAAAGATGGAGGAATATCTCTTGGCCTTTGCTATCCATGAATTTAATCATTTTGGGACTGATGAAATGATTAAGGAGGTCAAGGAGGTGTTGAGGTAAATTATGTTTCTTAAGGATTTTTGAGGAGTGATCAGGAGAGGAAGCAGTCCAGACTGTATTGTGTACGGTAAGTTATGTATTGTGATATTTTTAGGAGCTGTTTTTTGGTCAGTCGAGTTTCCGTTATTAGGGCTACATCTACGTTTTTGTCTTGTAGTAAGGCTGTTAGTTCGTGTATGTGATTTCTAACACCATTCGCATTCCAAAGGAGAATGGATATGGGCTTGATGGAAGTCATTTAATGATTTTTTAAAGGAGGGATGAGGTGAGATTATAGGTTAGTGAAGAGTGATATCAGTGGGGTAACAAGCGATTTCTGAAAGAAAGGATGTCAATAAACTGGTTAGATCTGTGGCATTAGGCGGTGAAGGAACATGTTGGATTTGATGTTGGTGAGGTTGTTGTGGATTAGGTACATTAGGTGGGATAGGATATTGAGATTGGGGTTGAGTTTGTTCTTGCGGCAGGGCCTCACATTCATTAGTCGGGTCTATATCCCCGAGTAGCTTGGCAAAAGAAACCACAATTTTAGAGAGTCCTCTTCTTGGTTTAGGTGTATCATCAAGGTCCCTGGGTTTCATATATCTCGCTTTAAGATTTTTATAAATTTGGCAGCCTTTATAGTTGGCTGGATGGCCTTCCGGGCATAGGGCACAGACTGCTAGTTCTGTAATTAGTTTGGCACACTCGCCAGACTTGTGTGTTTTACCGCATTTTACGCAGCGTGGTAAGTGGTGGCAATAAGACTTGGTGTGGCCATATGCCTGGCAATTATGGCACTGGATGAACTCTCTTTTTGGATACGGTTTTTCGACCTTTACGCTGGTGTAGAAAATTCTATTAACATCATATATTTTTTCGATCCCAGGCGATGGCTCTAGATCGACGAAAAATAATGGCAACGGGATTTTATTTTTTACACCTGGTTGTTCCGTATTTTATGTTATTTTTAAAACATTGGTTATCTGGCGTATTTTGAACCCTAACGCAGTTAACTCTTCTTTAATCACTTCAGTTGGGATTGAGGAGTGTAAATTTCTTATTACGATTCGTTGTGCTCTTTCCTGCCACAACTGGTACGTGTAAAAGTCCGCATTTGTGTCAGTTAAATATTTTACTATTTTTGGGTAGGCTTCTGAAGTGGCCGGTATTATTTTTGTATCATTGGTTCTGTTTAGGCATGTATAGCTACCTGGGCAGATTTAATTAAGTTCAGTACACAACAACTGGAAATTTCTCAAATTTTTGACAAAGATAGGAGGTGGGCGTGGTTCTCTGGCTATAGGTGCATCTTCCATCTCTTCCCTGTCATTTTCAAGCACTTGGTATGGGTTAGGTGTAAAAAAGGGGAGTAAAAATTTCTTGTGAAGACGTACTTGGCTGTGGTTGAGATATAGATACTTGAGTGTTCGCTGGAGTACTTCCGGGGAGTGTTGATCGCTTACTGCGACGTGTTTTCTGTTTAAGCGGTGAATTACGAGGGGTAGAGCCAACTGAATGGGATCTCTTAGTTGACACCACTTGGTGGTAATATCGCATATAAAAAATAAATAAAATTACGTCTGCGTGTCCTTACTGTGGATGAACCGCCGACTGTGGACCAGTCAGTTACGTGGCTGGGCCACAACTGGAGTGGGGAGCCGTCAGCTGATATGGCGATAAAGAGATAAAGCCTATAAACGCTAAACCACTAAGTTCACTGTCTGTAATAGTACATAGTAAATAACAACACTACTCACTATGGTGTTAGTCCATTGTTAAGAGTTAGTAAAACTGAGCACTTATTCTACTAAAAAATAGTAAAACTGTGGGACACGATGTGAAATGTGGGCATTCAAATCAAGCGCATGCGCAGAACTCCTCTTTTATTTAGAAGGAAAAAACTGACTGTTAACTATATTTCAAGGCTACTTCCCCAAAATAAACATCCTACCCGTAACTACATTTTTAAACCCAAATTTTCAAACGCTTTTAGAAACAAAACAAATTCCACACTCCCACTGTCAGAAAGAATTTATTCAGCAGCTCAATCCCTTAATAACTTACCTTTATACAATATAGAAAACCAAAACCCACCTTGGATCCACAAACCCCCAAAAATGATGCTACGTTTCTCTCAGTTACTCAAATGCAATACCTCACCTTACGTGTACAAAACCGAATTTTCCCGTTTACTATAAAATATTCCGGAACCATTTTTAATTTACACTGATGATTCGAAATTCGATGATGCTACAGCTTCTTTGTTTGTTACCCATAACTCCACACATAAAATAAAACTGCATAAACTAAGCAGCATATACACAGCGGAACTTCACGTAATAGCCTCAGCCCTCTATTTCTGTATGTCAATAACTCCAGCTTCAATAGTGTTGATAACCGACTCCTTGAATTCATTAAAGGGTTTAAATGATATGTACTCAAAACACCCGATTACCCTTAAAATACACAAATACCCACCTAGCAAACTAAAAGTTGTTAAAAAATCAGTGAAGCCCTGAACCACATCAAACCGCCCTAATCGTAGAGAGGAGGTGCCCGTGACCAGGTTAAGAATAGGACACACCAATCTAACTCAGGAACATTTCATCACTAAGCAGCGACCACCAAATTGTCAACACTGCAATAGATCTCTCACAATCAATCATACTTTCCGGGAATGCACTTATTATACTTCAAGCCTAACTCGATTATCTCTAAAACCGGATATATCAGCAGTATTAAGCAACAACGAATCAAACATAAAAACAGTGATAAAATTTCTTGAAATCCATAGGCTATTAAATAAAATTAAAAATAAATATAATTTTTATTTTATTGTTCTTTCCTTTTTTATATTTATTCTAACATATTTAATTTTTTACATGTTTTTTAAATATCTTTTTCATTTATTACTCTATCTATCTATTATTAAGTTTTGATTATTCATTCTTTTTTTTATTTCTTCTCATAACAAATATAACTGACTCACAGGCGTTGATGACTCTTTAGGTTTTACGCCTTAAAGCCTAAATAAACAAACATTATATATTATACCACAATTTTTACAATCTATATACTTCAGTTTATGACTTGTTACTTAGCATATTCTGTTTATACTTCTTATTGTTCTTAATATTTTATTGTACTTACTGTTTATAATTTTAATAAGTTTATTTACACTTTTTATAATTTTTTATCTAAATATGATGTAACTTCCACAATTCTCGATATCTTTTTGTATCTGGTCAGTTCAAGTCCTGAAGAAGACCAAAGTCGGGCCGAACCGTTGGCTTTCAATAAAATAGTTATGCCACTATTTGTGACTGCCACACCGGACCATCTCCTTCCTGATTAATACAACGGCCAACTATTCAAAATAATTTCTATTCAAAGTATAGCGTGATAAGTGTATAAGTGAGTGTATAAGCGTGTATAAGTGAAAGATGTATGTTTTGCTGTATGTCCATCATCTGTAGCTGCGGAAACCTAGAAACACATTCTCCTGATGGAAATTCTGATAACATTTTCGGTTTCATCGAAATATTCTTTTTGAATATCCTGGTCGACCTTTACAGTTACTGTTCTGTGACTTCTTGTATTTATAGAGCACGCACACTCATTTTTTTTTTTAATGTGATTTTTTCAATATGATCATTACATTAATTTTATATTTTAAAGAATGGGGAAATAAATTAAGCTGTTAATTTAGTCAACACTAGAGTTTCATTTTTTTGCACAATGGCAGAATATTAAATAGATCATTGGGTTGGCCTTTCTTTTTTTTATACATACCAAGGTATTAAATTAATTATTCTAATAAGTTCAACTTAATTATATTGATTCATTAAATTAGCTGACAGTAATTGTATTATGGGAAGTTATTTTGGATTTACTGTCTTATGTTTTTGGAAAAGCAATTGGATTCTAACTTATTAAAAAAAATGTAATGTTCCTTTTTTTATTATTATTATGACATATTTTTTAAATTAAATTTTTCATAGCTGACTTTCATCAACAATAAGGAAATGTATTCCAATATAAGTAGACATCAAACGTTTATTACATTTTAAATAGTACAATCTAAAATTAATAATTTATAATTGTTACAACCAACCACCTTTTGGCTGTCTCTTAACTGTTTTAATACATCCTTTTAGATGTACTGGTGTTGATACGTCTGAAGGACTTGGTGGTATAAGAGCTTCCTGACTGGAATAGGAGCTAGAAGAAACCAGAGAGGGAGCTTCTTCTTTAAAACTTGTATATGTTTCTTGGAGATTTTCATGTTTAACATCCTTACTATTGGTGTTTTTATCTGTGTCTTCGTTTCTCAATATCTGAGTATTATTTTCAGGCGATGAAACATTTTTAATTTGTAGCTTCAGAGGAGATTTCATTGGTGATGGTATACATGGTGGTGGACTTACTGATACAACTGGGATAACTGTTTTTTTCAAATTAAGATTTTCATTTGATTTGGAAGGTGTAAGGCCCCTTTGATCCTTTAGTTCGATTTTGTCATTAGCTTTAAGTGTCTGTTGAACGTTTTGTTCAGTTTTGTCGCGTGGAGTAGTATCTACGAAAGTGGTTACATTAATTTTTAGAGATGATTTATCTTCACTCTTTTTGTTTGTAGGTAATTTTGATTCCTTGAAATTACTTTTCATATCTGTATCTTGGGAACTTTCTGTTTTTATTCCTTTTCTCTCCAAGCCAAAGCTCGGGCTTCTGCCATGCGATTGAACTGGACTTGGTTTTACTGAGCTGTTCTGAACATCTAAGTGTTTACCTGAAAATTTGGAAACCATTAAATAATAAATTTAATGTGTTTATCCAATTAAGTGTTTAAGGATTCTGCGGGTTCGTTCAATAAAAAACTACACATAAAAAAATAAATCTTTAATGAATAAAAACACTTTGGTAAAAACATTAGAAAATAAAAACATACCTCTGAATGCACATGCAGTAATATAGAAAAAAAATTAGAAAGCAATAAATCAACTAAAGCTAAACTAAAATTTGTACACTACTGAAAAAATGCATTACAATTACTAAAAATGAATACGAATTACTACTGTAATTTGTGATCGCTCACTATACTGTGCATGCAGGCCACTAATAATAATAACTAGTGCTCATTAACTAGTTCATTAACTAGTGAACCCAAAAAAAATATGTAGCTTGTTAAAAATTGTTCTGGCACTAAAAAACAACAGGCGGCTTGAATCGATCTCTCGATCCAAAGAGTTTGCACCAGATTGCGCATGGTATAGGCTAAGTTAGTTGTCTTGGACGTTTGGTCATTAGACAGAACCTTAACAAATGTATAGAAAATAAAGTTTAATACAGAGAGATGACCAGTAATGTTAGTTATAAAACTCATATTGCTAAATTTTCAAATGCAATTCTAGTGATAATTCAATAGAAATTATTACTAAATAATTCATTGCATATTGAAAAAAAAAAAATGAAAATTTACTAATCAATGACTTATTTTGCATCACACTGATTGAGGAAATGAAAGAATTCACATTTATATTATTATAACTGGTTAAAAAGACTATGCAAGATGTAAATTATTTTACTTAGTGTTGCCTAAATATAAGACCAAGACAAAATACAGGATGTGCCAGACCCCCACCACTCAACACCCCTCTCCATATCTCTATAAATTCCATATCGTTGTGTGCCATGCAATTATTTATTATAAAAGAGCCAATTTTAAAACAAAAATGTGAACGCACTGTCCCAAATTGGCTCCCAAACATGCCAAATTGATGATTTCGATTTTAGTTGGTTTTTCCGCAGAGCAAGATCGAAGTGGCATAGGACTAGATACCCAACAGATAAATCGCATTACACCCAACTGACTAACAAACTGAAATCAGAAATTAGAAAATACAAAATTCAAAATTTACTAAATTTTACTGAAAAACTTACAACCACTGACAAATCACAATGGATAACCACCAAAAAACTTCTAAATTTCAAGACTTTAATCACCCACTACTTGCTGATTCCCAAACCTGGTCCAAATCCGAAGAAGAAAAAGCCCAAATATTTGGTCAACATCTCTTTCAAACTTTTAACCTACATCCCGATATCCTTAATTCAACTCACATCAATTGTATTGAAGCAGAATTGGATATTCCTCTCCAAATGTCCCTGCCACCCAAAGCATTTCATCCCATAGAAATATCCAACATCATTCAAAAGTACCCTCCCGTAAAGCTGCTGGACATGACCTACTTACATCCCAGATCCTAAAACTTCTTCTTCTAAAAGCCGTCCTATTCCTTACTTACATATATAATACTGTACTCCGTTCCACATATTTTCCTGATCCTTGGAAACGATCTATTGTTAAAATGATCCACAAACCCAAAAAACCACCAGAATACCCATCCTCTTACCGTCCTATCTCTCTTTTACCCATCATGGGCAAAATCCTAGAAAAACTCATCTTAAAACGCCTGTACCCTATCCTAAATTTAAACACATAATCCCAGATCACCAATTTGGTTTCCGCACTTGCCATTCCACTATACAGCAATGTCATCGTGTGGTAGACGTAGTCTCCTCTGCATTGGAGCGCGGAATGTACTGTACGGGAGTCTTTCTCGACGTTGAACAGACGTTTGATAGAGTTTGGCACCCGTTACTGCTGTACGAACTCCGAAAATTCTTACCACCTATATACTTCCTCATTATCCGTTCCTACCTTACTGATAGATACTTTAAAGTAAATCACAAAAATGCCTATTCATCCCTTTTTTCCCAGTCCGCTGGTGTTCCTCAAGGTAGTATCCTAGGTCCTATCCTCTATACAGCTGACATCCCTACCTATCTCAACACTGTCATCACCACATATGCCGATGACACATGCATCCTATCAGTAAATAATGATCCATCAATTGCATCCCTAATGCTTCAATCACACATCATAAATCTTGAAGAATGGTGTCAAAACTGGAGAATTAAAATAAACTCCAATAAATCCCATCAAATTACCTTTACCCTTCGTCGTAAATCAACGACTGTCTGTCCTACAGTTTCCTTTAACAATACTCCACTTATCCCTGTTGAGCAAATCCGATACCTAGGACTCCACCTGGACAAACGACTAACTTGGAATCCTCATACTAGGCTGAAACGACAAGAAACCATCGAATTCCTCTCTCATCCAATCCTTACAATCCAAAATCCTTCGTAAAATCCTCAATGCTCCTTACTTCGTCACTAATAACTTTGTCACTAATAATATCCATAAAGATCTTAATGTTCCTTATGTTTCAGATCTGGCCCAATCCAGATACCTATGCTTCCATAATAAACTTCAGAATCATCCCAACCCTCTCGTTTCTAATCTTGCTTCCTCTTCAATTCCTGATAACCCTCCGAGGCGTCTGAAAAGATGACTGCCCCGTGATCTCCTAATGTAGTCATATCATTAGAGTGCTACCATTGGGTAGTTACTCAGCAAATGTATTCATGTCATTATATCTATTATTACCAAATTTACTAGATGTATTTATGTAATACAGTTGTAAATGTCATTAAGAAATAAAAAAAAAAGTTGGTTTTTCTCATTCAAGGCAGTATCAGAAAAACCAATAACAAAATTAATCAGCTGGTGCGAAGGTTGTGTTCTCAACTCGTCTCTCAGTTTTTTTCCTAATAGTAGGGTATAAATGCCGGTTCTGGCACACTTTAATACCTCCATTTGAGGAGGAGAATTGGACTTTAGACCCTAGGCAATTCTTACCTTAACCACCTGGAGGAGAGGAGTGCTTAGGAGCAAAGGTGGAGTGTAATGAAAGCAGAACTGGGCTATAATCTGAAGAAAGGTCATCCATGGATTTAACTATGACATGAGAAGAGGAAATCTGGGAGGTGACAAATATGTCCAGGATATCAGGGCGTTTTTTGAGGGAAGTTGGCCAATAGGTAGGATTTATAGAAGAGATGACCGAATAACTATTGGGAATTGAGAGATAAGATAGTATGTTACCACGGGAGTTGGATGCTCGACAACCCCATAGTTGGTATTTAGCATTGTAGTCTCCTCCAGCAATAAAGCGCGATCCGAAGGATTGAAATAAGGATTCAAGTACGTTGTAGGTAAGAGTGTGACCAGGAGGACAGTATACAGCCGAGAGTGTTAAATGAAAAGGACGAGTTGAAATGATTACTGAGGTTGCTTGAATAGCCTCAGTTGGAGTAGAAGGAATGAGAGAATGGGATAAGGATTTATGGATAAGTGTTGTCAAGGTGGTCTGATCTGTAAGTTATTTAGTCACGTATGTAGAAATATGAACGTTGAGTGAAGTGAGTTTCTGTCAGTAGAGCAATATCAATGTGGTTGTCATGAAGAAAAATGTCAAGTTCGTCTCTGTGGTTGTGTAGTCCTTTTAGCATTCCATAATACAACAACTAGGGGCTTTGTGCTCATCGTGAGAGATTAAAGGGAATTTCGGTAAGGATTCTTGTGAGGAGGGTGATTAGTGGCTTGATAGTTTCTTGAAGATCTTTCAGGAAGGAGGCAAGGGTGGAGTTTATTATGTCGATCGGGTTCTGTTGCTCAGGTGGGTTTTCATCAGGGATTCGTGAGGGACAGCTGTTATAATAAGGAGTGTCTGATGAAGGTTGTACATGTTGTGATGTATGAGGGGCTGGATTATAAATAGATAGAACATGGGAAGAATAGTTAATGTGAGCAGTAAGGTGGGAATAAACCGGAGTTGGATGTTCAGGAGGTAATTTTACTAGTAGAGGTATGTGATGAGGAGGCATTTGCTGACCTGGAAATTTTGACTAAATGTGGGAGGTGCGAGTCTTGGATTGGGAGTTCTGGGTTTTAGGATTTGAAGTTTGAGACTTAGGTTTAGAAGACTGAGGCGGTGACGTCGCGGCTGATTCTTCATCATGGTGCCTGAATATAGTTGCCTGGAGTCCTGATCGAGATGATCTGTTGATGTAGAGGGCTGTAGTGAAGGACGTGATGCTATTTTGTTCGGCAATTCAGGAAACATTGCGACATTTTGAAGTTCAGGTACCTGTGTCTGGGTAGGAATCTTCTGTTCGTGGTTTGTTAGTGATATGTTGTAAGTCCTTTGCTTATAGATCTTCTTAAAGACCATGCAACCCTGATAACTAGCAGGATGGTCCTCACCACAGAGGGCACATTTTGCTGGTTCATTCAACAGTTTCAATATACATATATTGTGACATCCTACAATATCATGACAAAACTTGTAACATCATGTTTCCCTTAAATAAATATTAATATAAATTGTAGCGACAAAAATATATATTATTGCAAACGAATATATACATGTATGGTAACGATGAAATATATACATATATTATTACAAATGAATATATACATATATGGCAAATATAAATATAAATTGCAACGGCAAAAATATATATTATTGCCAACGAAAATAAATTATAACGATGAAATATATTCATATATTCTAATAATTGTATGATAATACATCATAAAATTCTTACTGTTAACAACAACGTCAACACCCATACCCCCCCCCCCCCCCCCCATCTTCTCATCAACTTTTATATTTTTTTCATAAATATCAAGATGTATTCAATAATCTAAGAATATATACCTCCAATATCAATACAATCACGAATATTGTAATAAATCGAAATTTGATTAATCGATCTTAAATCTAATATCATTTTCGAATTCTGTACCTATAATAACCCAATAGTAGACTCTAATATCGAAAATCTTTCAGCAAATCCATTCCGATCAAATTGATCTCA